CTTGTGGTTGCCAATTAATGAAACCAATATATATTTAACTTGATGGGTACCAGTGATTTAACCAATAAGCCTTAGCATACTTCACTGCTGCAGTCTCCTTTATAATTAGACTTTTGATCTGATTATTATCACAACTTCATACATTTTCCTCTAATCTCCCATTGGTTGTCACCACAAATGATGGTGACATTAAATCTGTTTGTCTGTCAGTTGCAAACCTCACTACTTTTAATCAAGCAATGTATCACATAGGGCTTTTATAATCTCTGAAATAACTTCTGATTTTATTTTCTAATGTTGTTTATTTAATCATTAAGTGTCTGAGTCCTAAACAGGATAAACATTGACTTTCTATAAAGCAAAATGTGGGCTCTCAGTCCCTTCACAAAGGAGCTGAGTACTTTTATGGGCAAATCCTAAGTACATAATAAATATGCAAAAAAGCAAAGCTTTTTTACTGAATCACTGAACTTTAAATAATATTTATAATAATATTCAATTTTAATACTGATAGGGGTGTCTTAATGATTTGACAAAATAAAGAGACTGAAGAAATCTTTAGTACAAATAAAATGTTTATCTGATGTACACAATGAGCGCTATTTTACATGAAATGATAAACTATTGCAAAACTATAGTTAAAATTTATATTACTGTTCAGCAACTTTTACATCATTTCATGCACAGAAAGCACCAAATATCTTCTTTAGAAGGCAGCACTTTTGATATTAGGAATTCAAAATGAAATCTGAATCCTTACTTACTTCCTTAAGTGAGTATCTTTTAGTACCAAATGCTACCTAATTATCAGCTTTAAAAAATGTTTTACATCTTAAAATACAATATTCTGTTTATCCTAGATTGTCTGGGGAACATCTAGTACATTAAAAGATTTTTGTAGAGCTTCTTAGTGATTTAACTGATATCATCATGCCTGCTAGCAATTTTGCAGCATTCTGAAAACACTTTCCATAAATCAAAGCCTTAGCAGCAGGAATAAGCAGATGGCAGGAGACCATATTAAAGAATGTATCAATTATTTTTATTAATGGGATGCTACTGGATCATGATGTATCATAATGGACTAAATGTTTAGCAGTTGTGAAGTGTTTTCTCTGTTAGATATCTCAGATGTTTTTACTGGATGTTACTATATTGCCTTTTGGTGGCATTTTTGAGGGTCTGGACAGTGAAGTTTCACAAGGGACATATAAAAAGGTATTTTCACTCCTTTAATTATATTCATACAATAAACATAAAATGCCAGCAAGTATAAAATGTAATTGTAAAAAGATTGCATACATGGTGCGTAATAAAGTACATTCTCTCTGCATACAATGACTTAGAAAACAAGATACCATATGGTTAACAATGAAAAATAGCAATTATTATAAAAATATTCTACAGTCTCATAATAGCAATGTAAATGCCTTTACTTATCTAAGAGACTTAGCATAATTTTAAATTACAATAATTTTACATCCTCCATTCATATATACAGTTCTATTAAATTCAGAAAGTATTATAATATCAATGTTCTTACTAGGATTAGGCAACTGAATTATATTTAGTTATTTTATTATATAAAGTAACTGTGTGCCTGTTTGTTAAAACTGTTTGCAGTTACTGTAGTTTTCACACTATCTGTGCTATGCACAATGAAATAATTTAGTTTTCATTTCTTAGTAAAGCATCTATATCCATGCCATGAATCAAACAGGATGTAAATATTTCAACTCCCTTTCCTTTTGTGTAATTATCAGTCTGTTGTTTTGTGGATTCTGTAGGAATATGTCCACCAGCTTTGAACAGCTGTCACTGAAAACAAGCAATAACTCCTTATTTAATACATCTTGACAAAAATAGCCAGTTCTACTATCCCCTGCCCTGCTTGAGGTCAAGATCTGTATGACTTCAAATTCTTTTCTAGGCCCAGAGCCATGGGCATATTATTCATCTCTTTCATGAGATTTCATTAAACAGATCTGTGCTGGAAATAGCCAAAAAGTGTATTTTACTTGCACCATAACTCAGTCCAGTAAAACTTGCATGGTCAACAAAGAAATTCTGCCTAACAGAAAATATCAGGATTTGTCCCTGTAGTTCTGAAATCCCTTTCCTCTGCAGAAGCTGGTAGGACTGGGCTTGGCTCTGCCCTAGAAGTCCTCTCAGCTTCACAGCACCATTTCCAAGCCTGTGGGGGAGAGGGAGAGTTTATTCCAGAAAGTCTGGGATGTGACTATCAGCACATGCATCTCCTAAATACCTTCAGTAGCACCTATTAATCCCCAGAATGTCCTAGTCTGGTTTTGCAGTCTGTACCACCATTTAATTTCAGGGATGAACCTGTAATCCAGGCTATAATTATTAACTGAAATACTAATTATGATGACTTTCTACTAGAAAAAATGCAATGTTAGTGAAATACCATTGCCATAATAAACACCTAGAAGAATTGATGTATTTATTGTTTTGCAGAAGACAGCTGAAGGTTTGTGGGAAGGAAGACAGCTTGCATAAGTTTAATGACAGACACAATATAATGCCTTGCAAAAAGAGCATTGACTATCTTAATTTTCTCATGCAAGGAGAGAGAAAAAAATTCTGGTACTTTAGACCGAAGCAATTGTCAAAAGAATGAAAATCAACTTTAAAAAATTTAATATATGCACTATAATGTTTTTTTAGAACAGTGCTTATAAAAGTGATGAAATTCAGGATGTTATTTAAAGTCAGTATAGTTCAGAAGTATGGTCTAACTCACATGTAAAAGTTCAATGGGAAAATCATGTAATACATTCATATTTAATTTGTTTTTCTCCATTATGAGCAATCTGCACTGGTGTATTTAAAACTAATGTAGTAGAAACTGCAGTACAAGGACAAATGGCATTTGATATCAACCAAATAACCCTTCCTTTCATCAGCTGAAATGTAAAATACTCATGCTACACTAGATATAATATGGGCATAAAGGTTACTTTTAATTCATCATGTTTTGTATACAGATGTCAATATTAGCAATTGTCTTTGACAAAACTATGACAAAGTGGTTCCTCTTTTAATTAATCTAATTAAAATGGTGGCCAGTCCAGTTATCCAGTTATCTTTGGTTAATATGTGTTTGTATTTCTGATATGCTATAAAAAACAAACAAAAAAAATCCAACTAAACGAAAAAAAACAACAAAATTAAAAGGCTACGCCAAACAAAACAAATAAAAAGATAAACACAAACACCAAACCAAAACAAAAGAAAATTAACAGAACCCTGTCTGTTGTCATTTTTTTGATCCATGAAGCATGAGTGTATTAAAGGCTCTTCAAATGGTCAGGTCTGTCCTTACAGGTCACCTTACACCCATGTAGTTTTCACAAACTCATAGAAAACCTTGAGATTCCTAAAATTTGAAATATTCCTGTGATATTGGACACACCATAACCTTTCATAGGCATCTGGGTGTGATTTATTATCTCTTCTTACTCTTTCCAAACCTGTGACACTTCTGAAGTGAGGCAGGCTCAGTGACAGGAAAATTAATACACACTTTTGAAACATATTTTGAATCATTACAGAACTCTTGTGGTGGTTTCAGCTGGGGTAGAGTTAATTTTCTTCACAGTGGCTAGTATAGGACTGTATTTAGGTTTTGTGCTGGACAGAGATGTTTTTGCTGCTGCTGAGCAGGGCTTACACAGCCAAGGCCTGTTTTGCTTTTCATACTGACACACTGGCAAGGAAGTCGGGGGTGCATGGGAGGCTGGGAGGAGACACAGCCAGGACAGGTGACCCTAAGTGACCAAGGGATATTCCACACCATACCAAATCATGCTCAGTATACAAAGTGGGGGGAAGAAGGAGGAAGGGGTGGAGATTTTGGACTGGTGGCATTTGACTTCCCAAGTCACCATTACATGTGATGGTGCTCTGCCCCCTGGAGATGGTTGAACTGACCACGGGAAGCAGTGAATTAATTCCCTGTTTAGCTTTGCTTGTGTGCACACCTTTTGCTTTCCCTATTAAACTGTCTTTATCTCAACTCAAGAGCCTTCCAGGTTTTACCCTTCCAATTCTTCCTCAGTCACTCTGGCTGGGCAGTGACCAACTGGCTGCATGAGGCTTTGTTACTGCCTGGGATTAAACCATAACACTCCCTAATGTGATCTTTTGGCTTTGATTGAGGAAGAGCTATGAAGAACCTGTTCCAGTTTATTTTCCCATGTTTTAATGTTACAGTTGGAATGGTTGCACTTAATGTTCTTCAGGAATGTACATCACTCTCCAGAATTTCACTATGTATAGAAGTGAGTTTTCTGAATGCCCCCTCCTAGCAAACTGGTTATGAGAGGTAGTGCATCATATCAGTATTTCTGAATATTCCCTTCAGTTTAGCAAGTCTTCCTTTCCAGCTTTTCTATAGCGAGTCCAAAGCCAAATATAAAATTAAATTCTTGTTGTTCGTAGTGTATGCAATGGGAATCTTGTCATTTCCCTCTGCTTCCAAATGGATCAAAAGCAAATGTCCCTTTGGAAAAAACCTCACTGTGCTGTCAAAGTACACTGAAAGTGTCATCCAGCAGCCCAGTGTTATATCTGAATCCCAATTCCTTCCACATAAAAAAGGACATAGTTTGAATATTCTTGAAATAAGTAGCTGGCATAGCACTGTCACAAGTAGCGCTTGTTTTAAATTGTGCTAACTGTAACGGAGTGTCTGTGCTGTCTTGTATATCCACACAGTCTTTCTGCTGTAATGCTGTGTCTTTTTCTGTCTGAGTTCATTTGAATCACTGTCATTATGTTAGTTTCCATTTTAATTCTGTGTCATTAAAATATATACTTAAAAGAGTGTTCTTTTTCTACAAATGAAATGGGATTCCGTGGAAAGCTTAATGGATTTTCTCCTTTCAAAGAGAAACCCACACAGTATAAACTTTATGCTTACTTGTGTGAAAGCATTATCATCTGACTTTTTTAGATGTTAAAACCTGTAACATCTCTACAGTTCCCAGCCTAAATAGTTCTCTGTTGCTTCACATTTTGTAGAATTTTTCATTACTAAAAAATAAAGAAATTACCAAATGACTAAAATTCATATATGTAGCAGAGAAAAGATTGAAAAGAGTTTGAATACAGTTTTGCAACATGGGTATTCCTTTTGTGATAACCGTTTTCATAGTACTGTAAAAAGTCATGAAGTGATAGTAAAAATATTCCCAGTGAAGAGACATTTATGCAAATGTCAGCTGTGAACAGAGGGTGAATTTGGGGCAGAGTGATATGAGTTCATGTCCATCTTATTTTCTTGTGAAGTAAGGACTGATTGAAACCCTTGCATGTAGTAATTTATTTTTATAGTGTCTCTCCTCATAGGTATTTAAAATAAGCGTAAACTATGCTTACGTTCAGCTCAGTCTTTTAACAAGTGGTTTAGAGAAGTATGAGACCCTTTCTGCTTTTATAAATCATCTCCATCATCTGTGCTAAAGCTGCTTCTCCTGCTGCTCTCTTTTGATGCAGCTGGAGATGTGGAGGACAAGAGTGGGTCTGTTCCAAATGGTGACACTGTGTCATCCAATAGAATTTCCTCTAGTCGTTGTTCTTCTTTTAAAGCCGCGCTGAAGGACAAATCCGTGAAGTGTGAAAGTGGATCAGAAAAGGCTGTAGATCCATTGCAGACATCAGAATTTTGTCCATGTACCAGAGGCATTTGTTGAGGGTAGTCTACAGAGTTCTCCTCTGAATAAGACTGTTGCTTGATGACCTGTGCAGCTAAATCAACAGCACTGAGCGCGGACGTGACTGGAAGGCCGTGTGCACGTGCCTGGATTTCCAGTTCCTAACATTTAAAACAAAAATAATTAGGCAGCAATTTCAAAGGAGAAAACAGTATCTTCAGAAAAATTGCAGAAAGTATACAAATCATGTGTGGAAAATTTATTATACCTTTTGCCTTGGCGAGAGATTAAATTTTTAAATGATAAATTTTTTATCTAAGAAAATTTTCCCCTCAAGTGTTTTTATATCCCTTTCTGTCATTAAGCAACTAGTCTACAGGAACAGAAGAGGTAGGACACCCTCTCTAAAACCATTGCATACTGAATCCAAGGAAGGTAGCAGAAAAATGTTGCAACTTGATAGTTCATTATAAAACTGCTACCCAGAGCAAAAGAAGATTATTTACTTGATAATGCTCATATTATACAGATATATGAGTAAATCAACATATGTAAGATGTTTGGTTTTATGTCTGTCTACCTATCTACCCATCCCATTTCCATAGCTTTTTGTCTATATTAGAATCTTGATTTTCACGCCATAAAGGGATATATTTTGCCTCTTTGTATCAAAAGCAGATATATCATAAGTCACTCTTACCACAGAGTGTAATGCATTAAAGAGTTTGAAAGGGAAAATTAAAGTACTGAAGAGAACTTTGTGTCCAGTACTGATTTTTGGCTGCAGCAGTATACTTATTTCCTTTTTTTTTTCTTTTTCTTTCTTTGTTTCTAACACATGCATAATGAAACTGTTTGTACAAATACTTTATTAATTTTCCACTAGTTACTTTATGTAAGGTATAATTATCAAAGAAAATTCCTAGAAATCTAAAGAATAGCCTCCCCAATATACACAGAAATAAATAGGCAAAGTCAAAGTATTTTTAATAAACATCATTTAAGAAAAAATTATATAGATTAACAAAATTTGATGGGAGATAAGTACTGAGAAAGCTTTGTAGTTCATGGCAACACTTATACAAACCTGAATTCGGAGTAGAAGTCTTCTGTTAGCATGCTCTAATTTCTTCTGCCTGTGTTCTAATTCTCTGGCTCTCTGTTGTTCTTTTTGTAGCCACTTGATGTACTCTACTGATGCCTTTAAAATAGTTCCTTTGTTCCAGCGCATATCACTGCAGAATGTAGAGATAACCTTTTCACAATTGTGCATGTCAGCAGAATTCATAAGAACTTACAAAATCTTTTACATTAATATGAAATAATGATTTACATGACTATTATTCACTCTTAGATATTATTGCTTCTGAATGGAAATTTTAATAGAATAGTTAAGAAGCCCTTATATAGTAAAATTAATCCCAGAATGAAAATAAGTGTCAAAAGAAAGTAATAAAGTGACTTTTTGTGGGAGAGCTAAATGCAATATCATGATTCTACCATTACAGTTTTTATATTTTTAGTGAAAATTGCTTTTATTATTAACTCTAAGATTAAAATCTATGTGCAGTATTTCTGCATTAATGAACTAGGAAATATACATTACTGAGGACTTAAGCCTAAATTTTTAAAGATCATTTTGAATATACTACTCCTTTTACCTGACTTACTAATGAGATTGCTTTTATGCTTATAGAGAAAAAAATGATCTATGCTGAATGCCACTCCTCATTGATGACAGACCAGAAAAATCGCACTTTCATAACCATAATGACAAGGGAATAACAAAAATCATGTTCAAAAATCTTGAAACAATATAAAAACCAAGTTAAAATCTACAGCTTCATGCAAACCCCAACTCAAAATAAAAGCTTTGCCAAAAAATTAGATTAAACCTGCCCATCATTCAGGAAATTGTAGTTTGACTTTCAGCTTACAAGCAGCCTTTCTAGCAACAAAATACTTGTTTAAATGAAACTGTTCAAAGACATCATGTATCCATTTATCAAATCTTCATGCATTCCTTTAAGGTCTTGGAACAAGAATGAATTTTGCTGAAAATGTTTAATTTCTAATACATTGCAGTATTTTATGATACAGGATGGGTTCACTGAATTAAATATACATATATATATATGGGCTCTATCCAAACTATCTACTTCATTGCGAGATTGCTTAGGCTGAACAGAAGGTTGGTCAAGCTTCTGGTCCCAAACACAACCATGAGAAAGAAAAGCTGTTAAAACAAGTAAGAATCTGATGTTGGGAGGAGCAAGCATTTTTTCAACACCTATTCCAAAAACATATATTTACATGCTGTCATTTATGAAGCAAAAAAAAAAACAAAACAAACTTGTAAAACTTGTATGCCTGGCTATTATCACTTTCCCTTATTCATAGAATCATAGAATATGCTGAATTGGAAAGCAGCCATCAGGATTAGTGAGTCCAACTCCTGGCCTTGCACAGGACACCTCAAGAGTCACCCTGTGCCTGAGAGCATTGTCCAAATACTTCTTGAACTCTGCCAGGTTCTTGAACTTCTTGACCACTTCTCTGGAGAACCTGTAACCAGTGCTCAGCTACCCACTGGGTGAAATGAAAGCCTTTTCCTGATATCCAACCTAAACCTCCTATGACTCAGCCTCGGGTCATTTCCTTGAGTCCTGTCACTGGCCACGAGAGTGAAGACATTGGTACTTGCCCCTCCATTGCCCCTCAGGAGGCTAAGCACCCTTAGAGATTTCTGCAGTTATTTTTCTTCTGAATGTATAGTGCAAAAACCAGGCAGGTACAGGATTTAGGGACCCAGACCACTCAGCTTTTCCTGATACTTTACTAGGCATAAAACCTTATGGAATTGATAATTTTAAGACACTAAGAAGAATACACAAAATTATTTGTGATAAAGCATCACAGCGTTTAACCATGCCGTAGAATTCAGTTAATTTCCTAGAGATTTGGGAGCAATATTTTCTTGATCCAAGAGTGCTCCAATTCAAATGTCAGCTCTCTCTGGACAGCACACAAACTGTGAGGCTCCAGCATACTGGGACCTGCCCTTCTCTCAGTGCTGCAGGCCAGAAAGGCACAGCTTTTGGGATTAGGAGATGAGGAGGTCAGAGAAAAAATAATTGTTGTTTACAACCCTACTGTCTACAAAGCCAAAACATAATTTGGTATGCATTCTGATTTAGACTTTTCCTGGTCAAAAAAGCTGGAGCAGAGGGAGCAGCTGGGACTGAGAGCAGAATACATCTCCCCCACGATGCATGAATTATCTCTTGGCAGTTCTTCTGCCTTCTCTTTCCTGTTCCTCTACCTCTTGAACGGGTGGGAGGACAGAATTTCTTGGCAGCATCCCATGGGCTCCTTCCTAGGCGAGGACTTCCTCCTCTCAAATGGCTTACCTATGTTTAAACTGTAAAGGTTAAGGAAGCTTTTAGTATTAACATTTTCTGGACAAATCTTTAACCGCCATCACCGTGTCAGTCACATTGTCTTCACACCTCTTTGGAAAGGTAGGTAAAATACTGAGAGGTCCCTGTTTATGACTGAATTGCAGTGGAGTTTGAAAGGCAGTAAATTATCTGTCTGTTCTGTGTCAGACCACTCATGAATAAAGAAGCTAAATAAAATAAATAAAGTTAGTAGGAACAAGAAGTTTTCGAACAGGGATTCTCCACTCCCATCTTAGATATGAGCTATATATGCTATATATATATATATATATGCTATATGGAGAAACACAATCTGCCTCGAAAAGGAAGTTAGTCTTAGTACTAAAAACAAAACTAAGACAGGTTTGAACTGATGGTCTGAACCTAGAGATACAGTACTATGAAATTAGAAACAAATCCATTGCTGGAAAAATAGAAATAATTGAGGAAATGTAATAACAGCAGAAAAATTTGAATACATTACATATTTGGAAAATATTTCATAATGTTTTCACTAAAAAAAATCTCATGTCAGTTATAAAATTTTATTAATTCAAAATCATACAAAATTATTTTTGGTTGATTTTTCTGACTTACATATGAATAAGTCATATATACTTAACTGTATTTGTAATATTTTTTATTAAATTCATTCCTGTTATACTTAATTGTTGCACTTAATATCACCTTGTGATATGGATTACTTTTAGTTCATGTTTCCTTGATAGCTTTAGTTTTTATTTCTATGGTAATGATTTTTTTTCATAATTTTAAATAAATCTTCACTGACTCCTGGATTCAAACTGCCAGAGAGATGGATCTGGTCAGCTTTTGTATGAGATACATATGGATAGATATCTCTTGTGGTAATATTTACAGATCTGAGAGGCAAACCCGTAATGGAGAGCTGGGATAAAAATGCAGTGGTTATTATTATTATTATTGAAGAGACAGTTCTTTAACCTGTGTACACGTGTGTCTGTGCCTGTGTGCATATCCCACATATGGCTTCTACATAATTTCTCCTATGTACATATACTGGTTGGTGTCTTATTAAATGAAGAATATTGAAGTTGAACCTTCCATTGTCTGAAGGCAACACAGCAAAGGAACAGCTGGTGACCTTAGAAGTGAATGTGTATTTCACTTCTTGTCTCTCTTTATTGGGATCTAACAAAAATACTGGAGGTGTCTGTGCTGATTCTGCATCACAGGCCCTCTTCATCCATTCTAGCCCAGAGCACCACACAGCAGTCACAGGACAGTGCTGCAGAGCAGCAGAGGCTCTATGCAGATGTGCAAGGCTGGAACAGCAGCAATGCCACTGGGGAGGATGAAGGCAAATTTGGGCTGGTAAAGGTGAGATTCCTGCATACCAATAGTCTGAAGTGCATCTAGCTCTACATATCAGGCAGGCAAGCAGATTCATCTATGATGAGAAGAAAAAACAACTCAGCACTTCAGCACTTGAAAATGGATTAACTCAAAGCACAAAAAGTGCATAAGAAGAATTCAGAAATTCTCTGATCAGTTATTCAGTTTCTGTTTTTTCTCTGAAAACAATGAATTCTAAACAAAACTACCTGAAAAGTTATAAAAATGTCACTAGAGGATTGTAGTTTTTGCTTTTTAGTGATTTGTAGAGTGTGCTGGAAAAAAAAAACTGAAATGAAAAGCCCTACAAACATATTTTTAGAACCTTTAAAAACTGAGGAATCACTAGCAGTTGTTACTCATTTAATTGGAAGCTTCTGTATAAAAACAGACAAAATACTAGGATTCTTAACTGTTTTGATGCTAAAAACTTAGATATAGACCTACTTATCTTCAGATATGGCAGAAATCCTTCATTTTGATCTTTCAATTCTATTAATTTGGCTTTTATTTTTCTTAGTCTTGATTTTTATTAAATGTATGCATGGCACCACCCTGTAAACACTAAAATACATAGGAAATTTTAATCCAAGACAAGTAATTTGAGAGCAGTAAAATGTTTTGCCAGTCTGGTCAGCAGAAACGGCCTCTGCAAAGGAGGATTGCTTCTTTGTTCCTGTGGTAGAGTAATTTGAAGTTTCTAGCAAGTTAAAGATGGGTTAGTGAGCCTAATTAACAGAGGTTTACCAAAATTAACAAGAGTTGTATGGAAATTTTTTTTTAAAAAAGTAAAAAACACATTATGTTTTATTAGTCTCTGAATCCTATCTCCTCCTAACTTTAACATCTGAAACTCAAATACCCAGAACAAAACATGTAATTCTCACCAAGCAGAGTTTCCCATTTTGGAGAAACAAAACATAGAAAAGAGACTGATCTTCAGCCCATTTCCATTAATTTAACTTTGTTGAAGTCAAAGGAGCTTCACTAGTTCACAGAAGTTGAACTCCTGTAGGAAGGATAGGAGCATCTGGTCATCTAAGATTAGAGCTAATTAATAAAAGCAGTGTTAGAGAGTGTGATAGTTGCAGAGTTTGCCAGACACAGGCCAGTTACTAATAACAAACATATTTGCAAAGTTGAAACTGTGTTTGCAGAACATTTCTTTCCCTGTTTCTGAGAAATTATCTTTAACTAAAGAAATTTGCTCAGAGAAGTACTTGGAAGGACTTTATACTTGTTTTGAGGACTTGCACAATTGCGAAGTGTGTCATTCTGAAAGAGGCAGCAAGTTTCCACTTTATAACAGCATGAGTGCACACAAGCTTTTCCTTTGCAAGCAATGTGTCTGTGCTGGCTGCTAGAGGGTCTGTCCACAGCCATCCCAGAGGTCAGGCACAGGGAGATGCAGAGAGCAGAAAGGAGAGAGTGAGAGCATCCCACTGCTTCTGCCCAAATCCTCCACAGCTCTCAACATTCCAGTTCTGTAAAACTACTAGAATTCTTGAAGGAAAGGGCTTTTTCTTGTTCAGCTTTCTGGCAATTTAAGTAAGTCCAACTACCATTAAACTGTTGTGTAGGCATTACTAGACTCCTTCACAATAAGAAATCCTGTTAACCACCTGAAAGCTGGATTCTGAAAGGTTGAACACAAATGGGAAAGGTGGGTATAATTAAAGGAACAGTTAGGAGTTTTTCAGAAAAATATGACTATTTCTGGCATTTTTTAAATTCTATTTTTGAATTATTCTGTAAAACTGATTTGCATTTCTGAATCATCTAGCACTTGAATATCTAAGCATTGAAAATTAAACAAAAGAGTCATAGTTCTATGTAACTTATCTCCATTTTCTAGTGCTGATGAAGTGAACTTAAAACACCCATTCATTTATGTAATGTAATCCACACTTCTCATCATTAAATTAGAAAAAAAAAAAAAAAGGTGAAAAGAATAGGAGCATAATCCAGTCAAAAGAAAGTCCCTGCAGAACCTCTGCAGGAGCCAAACAAGTTCACTACATAATCAACTAAACAAAAGTGAAATAAAAACCCCACACAGCACTTCTTAGAAATATAAATCACAAAAGGTTTCCAAATGGCATAAAAAATGTCCTTTACTGTTTCTGATTCTGAATGTAATCTTCTTGAAGCAAGCCATCTGGGACAGGCATTCTAACCACAATGGCTTAGTTATAGTAGTATGTGCTCTTCAAGGCAGAGGCTGATTTTCTTCACTGCCATTAGTCTAAGCATCAGTAAGCTTTCTCTTTTTACAGCTAAGTTTCCACTATAAGAAGAATCTTCTAAAATCAATATGAAGCAAAAATGCTATGTGTGATAAAATTATACAGATGAAATATTGTAAGCCATGATAAATCTCATTCAAGAAGAAGGGGCAAACTGGGGGCACAGTAAGTTGTTATGAAGTAAAAAGCAAGAACTGAAAGGAGAATAAGGATGCTGAGGTATGATTTGGCAAAACAAGACCATACAAAAAGGTAACAATAATTTTGATCTGCTCAGCCAACAAAACAACATGTTCTAATTAATGTATTTCCACCTAAAAATACAATTTTTAAAAAAAGTGCTTACACTTCTTTGAATTAATTTATCCTTGCACTAAACTATAGCAAAATTATGTTGCAACCTGGTTTTTCAAAAGCCCTGCACATTTTGATGCTTTTTTTTTTTTTAGCACCAACTTAAAAGCTTTTCAGTAGGCCTGCTTTCCAAAGGGGTACTGATTATCAGCCTTTTGAAGACAGCAGTCTTGAGAATGTGAGATACTTAAGTTCACCTTGTGCTTTTGTAAACATAAACCGCTCTGGGTTTGGTCACACTGCTGAACTCAGTCATGGGTTTGCAAACTAATACAAGATAAGGCAATGATTTCAGAATCTATACTTGAAACTTTTTCATCAGGCAACAACACCAAAAACTGAGGGTGAAGTCCATCATCCACTTACTGGAGCAAAATTGCAGTCCAGGTAAATCATTTTAAGAAAAGCTTAATTGATTACTCTAGGTATTAATGTTTTGATTGAGTTCACAAAGTCAACCTGAATCCAAACCAAAACATGTAAGTGAAATACCTTTATAGGCAATCAAACAGTGTAACTGCAATTTGTACCCCATGCCCGTTTCTAATTACAGTATAGCCAGTTTCTATTTTTGCTTTATAGCTGCAAACCAACAGTGCCATCCACTGTTTTTCTGAGAAATCTTTCAATTACTTGCCCAAATGGTATTGAATACTGAAAGATTCATAGCAAAATTAAAATGTTTGTATCAGTTTCTGCCTGCAGTGGATCACATGGCCCAAACTTTATTTAGGTACTTTAAGCACTTTTTTTTTAAATTCAGCTTTGACACCTTAGTCCATATTAATTAAAAAAAAACATGCTCATTTATCCAATCTTTGGCAGATGCTACAGAAGTAGATGAGTTTGTGAATTCTCTATAATGGATGCAGTATGTTAACTTTCTCTCTGGTGGCTTCACTTCAAGTAAAGCTAACCTTTTACTTGTGTCTCACACAGCTTTGTGTTGTTGTAGAAATCCTTAATGCAATCAAAAGTTTCTTAATCATAAGGTTTAAAAAGCTGAAATATCAATAGATTTTTTCATTTGAAGTATCATGCACATCTGTATTGACATGCAAAAGATAAAGACAAAATCTGTATAATCAATTTTATGCAAGTCACAATCATGCCAGTGCATTGTCTTAAGTTTTCCCTGAGTGACAAGAGAAATCTAAGGCTAAAGTTCTGCATTAAAAATCACTCTGAATTGTTATTGTTAATCCTGCAATGGGCTTTTCTACAAGGCAGCTTTTTTCCTGCTGATGACAAATATAAGCTTTAAGGGAATGCACATATAGTTCAAGCAATATGCATTTTGTGTTTCTGTAAGTATATGCATTAGTATAAAATGATATTATTATAGCAATTATAGCAATTATAACTTTTATCCTTGCATTTTAGGACTGGTGTTTTCTCTGCACTGAGTCGACGACTTTTGAAAAATGTTCAGTCTACAGACTCTTAAATTGATTTTTTTTTTCTCTTAGTCAAAGGACAGACAGTGACAACGTAAATTTTGTGTTATCCCACTAGAGGGCCATGGCAAGAGCTGAAAGCATCACTACTTCCTCCTCCAGAGACACCACACAATTGCCCTCAGGGACAGAGGTGGACTTTCTCTTGCTTGGCTTATCTTTTCTTTTTTGGTGCTTGTTTGTTTGTTTGTTTTCCCTTGAAGTGGCAGTCTCTCTTAAGCACCCTGAGATTACTTTCATATTATTATGCTTTCACATAAGTTTTTCCAACAGGCACAAAACATCTGTCAAAGGTTTGTTACGTCAACAGCCTGATCTGAGCCAGTGACGTGGCATGGAAGATTTTGTACCCTATTACTCAATCCTATAGCCAGTATACACAACTGTCTCTTTTTTCCTGTATTAATACTATAAACATTATTATAGGAAAGACAGTTGAACTCACGGATCGTTAGACTTGGGGATGAGTGTGCCAAGCTCCTTGATTCGGTAATTAATATTGTACCTTCTTCTTCTCTCAACTGTTAAAAAGAAACAGTTACTATTTTTATGGTGCAATATTTTTGGACAAATTCAACATAAAACATTATAATTAGTTAAAAACATGTTTGTCAATATACAGAAAAAGTCTTGCTCAAATAGCCATCCCAACATGAGCTCCTACCTGTCTCCGACTTACTCTCAGGACAAACTCTGTCATTAATACCGTCTGTGTCTTACCTTAACTATAGGTTTTCCCCTCATTTACAGTTAGATTTCTAGAGAATGAAATAGTCACATATTGTTTAAATGTGAGCTAATATTTCTTTTTTCTTGATGTTCATATATTCTTTCTCCATCATGCTCCCACAGAACAGATTTCAGCTTAGTGGAGTCTTGCTGGTGAAGTCAACGGGGATACAAAAAAATTCATCCAGAAACCGATATTTTGGCAGAACTTCTGTTACAGATCACAAGGTAACAGCTTCACTATCCCTTATTTACAATTGCCATCATTAAAACCCACAGAGACTACATAACTACAACCATATCCCCTCACCGAAGCAGAGCAGGATTATGTCCCAAAAACACTTCATCCCCTGTACATCTCTTTCCTTTGGTGATGGACAGCACAAAAATATTTATGATAATTTTTTAAACATAGAGAAAGTGAAAAAAAAAACCAAAACAGACCCAAACCATGGTTTAAACAATTAAATATATTTTCTGGATTCAAATTCATGTTTCTCCTAAGACAAGCTATGTAGGGTATCTTGGTTCACTTTGTAGTTTAGTTAGAATGAAAAAAGAGAAAATAAATTTCTTAAAATTAGTACCTTCTCTCTGTGTTGCATTGTACTGGTATCCAGGCTGTTGTATGAGATCCTTCAGAAACTTTACATTTTTCTAGTGAATAGGTCCAGAGAACATCTCATTGCTTTGGGGAATTACAGAAAGTGTATTCCCATTAGGAATATAGTCCCATTAGGGTATTGCTGGGTGTCAGAGACCAGCAGTCTCTACTGGTGTGAGCTCACACTTTTGTCCACTTCCTCCCTTTAACTTAATCCAAATCTCACTGAATAAGCAGGATTCAGCTTTTGTCTATCACTAACATCACACTGAGCTCCTTCTCTTGTCTTTTGCATCTTGGAAGACTTTACCTTGGGCTCAATATGCTAATGCCACTGTACTCTGCCAGACCAGCCCTGGCCAGTCTAGAGCATGGATACATGCTCCATGTTTGGAGAGGTACACTTAAAGTCTACTGGCCTTATTTTGAGTATAAATACAAAAAGCGCAGTAGAGCTAAGTTACAAGTGTTCAGCCAAGGGCATCCTAGTGGGTCTCCCAAGGCTGACTTCAACCTTCCCATAGTCATATGAGCATGTCACTTTCAGCCTCAGCCCCACCACCTGGAACACTTTTAGTCCTCTTCTCCCTGCATATAGAACGGTTTTCCTCCTGTCTGTGTGAGGCTCCTAGGTTTGTGCAGCAGTCAGTTATTTCCTCCCGTGCAGATTCAAGCTCTCGGAACAACCTGAGTGTTATTATTTATTCTGATGAAGTGCTCTACCTTGGTAGGATGTATTATCTCGTCTTGCTTTGTACAGAAACAGGAATTCCACTTAACAAATTAAAGCATCTCAAGTTTTTTAGTGATGATTCACACATTCAGAAGACAGGGTTATAATCCTCCTGAGTATACTGCTTAGTGAACCCCTGCATCACATTGGAATGAATGTGCTGGATCTTATAGGAGAGCCCAGAGTACAAAAACACAGAGTAACAGAAAAATTTAAAAGATATATTTCAGTTTGTGTTGGGAAAATAATGGCGTGGCAAACAAAATTGAAGAATATGCTTTACCTATACTGTCCTATTGCATAATAGCTGTTGTTTAGTTAATATTCACACTGTAGAAAACTCTGTAAGATATTCATCAAAAAGTAGTCAACTAAGCATTAGCTATAAAACAAGGCAAAGAAAAAATTATCCTTACAAGTGAACACTTTCAAAATTATTTTTTTATTTGTATTTTTGCATTTTTTCCTGAAAAGAAACTTCCAGTGGTTGTGTCAATGAGCTGGAGGGGAGAGATTTTTAAGCTTGGAAACGTTGCAATTTAACTTTCCTGATATATGTCTGTAACCTTTCCATAGATATATCAAGTTATCAGTAATATTTCAAGTATCAAATTATACATAAGCCAAATAAGAAAAATTATTTTTCAGACTGCATGGACAGGATTATGAGATAACATTTTTTGTTTGGAAGCAAAAAAAACCCAAAGTCAAAAAATATTAAGTAATGTTTTAAACTCTGCCTGTTGCATGAAGGGGTTCCACTTCTTAAATCTAAATCCCTTTTCATGATTCCATTCAATATATAATCTTTCAAAAGGAACTTTTTTCCTTTTCTTTTCCTTTATTACTCTTTGTTATTAGAACGTGCAAGAACATTGTGAAATATAGACCTTAATTCAACCTTAAAATTTAAAGTTTGTCTAATTCCAATCAACTTTCAAAAACTGATTTTTCAGACACTCACTAAGAAACTTGATCCTCATAAAAGCGTAAATCACGCTGATAAAGCCTTTATATGCAACACGTTATTATGTCCAAGCCTTTAGATAGTAGAGCTATGTTCAGAGATCCTTTGAGCTCTGTAGCAAACACCTGGAGCCAAGCCAAAACAGATGCTGCCTGTCCACAGTGGTGTCTTCATGGCCTTCAGTTTAGTTGCCAGTGGTGAGGAAGAAAGTTCTCAGACATTTCTTCTGTGATCAGCAAGGACTATGATAAGCCAAAGCAAACGATGGAAGCAATAGTAAGACCTGGCATCCCTAATCTATGATGAGCCTTTCTTTCCCCTTGTAGCTCCAGATAACTATTACCCACCCCCTTTCTTAGTACAGCAAAACTCCCCATTTCTGCCCTAACAAGACAGACAGCAGCTGCTTTGGCATTGCAGAGATTATGTGCTAGCAACATGTCTAAAAGTCTTCTTGGTCTGTCTGTAATCCATAAAAAAGTTGCAGACAGATTTAAGGATGCAGTCTGGAAATTCTAAGTAGCAGAAGATTGTCCACAGTGATTGCTAGCACATTGTGCCAGTGGATGTATACTTTCAGGTATGTCATTTCATGCAAATAAAGCCATAAATTCCTCTCTGATTACTGGAATAGCCAGAGAAACAAGACAGAAGTAAGAGAATAAAGATGTAAATAGTGGCTATTAACTAATTACCAATTAAGATTTAAATTAATAGAATCATAGAATATCTCAAGTTGGAAGTGATTCATAAGGATCATTGAATCCAACTCCCATACTATTTCTGTTGGAAGAACTGGAAAGAAGAACTTGAAAATTGTAACTGCATCATTCAACACTTTCCAAAAAGAATACTGCAGGCTTTTTGCTTCAAATTATGCTTTAGAGGGAAAAATTGTGTAATTTTATAGGCAATCTTCTTCCAGTAATGAAACTGATGTTGTTTTCTATTCTATAAAAACTAAAATATTTTTTATTTTTGTGATTCTAATATTTAGACACTGAACTATGCATTTCATTATGTGCTAAGACTTTTCCTCTAGAACTAACATGCCTATGATCTGTACGTAGCTGCACTGTTGTCCATAAAGGAAAGAGAAGTGTATCCCAGATGACTGGGGTTATGGGGCTTGTGTGGCACAGTCAGAACACTGGTGTCTCACACAGTCCTGCAACGATCTCCTTTGGTGACATACAATTTCAATAACTTCAAGAGCTTGACAACCACTTAGAAGTTTTCTGATATCCTATGTAATTTTTTTTCTTTCCTCGTCACCCATAAGGAGATACAGCCTCTTGCTTTGTTGCTTCTGTAAATAAGGTGCAAAGACTGTATTTTCACTGTTGTTTTTCTCATAACCTGCCTCCTTTCTTGCCTGCTTTGCATTGTAATTCGTAGAGAAAACATCAAGTAAAGTGTGCTACTGTGAAAAAATAATGGCAGGAGATTATATGGAAATAAATTAATTGCAATATGCAAAGTATTTTGAAAGACAAAAGTTCAGAGACAGAAATTAATTTCATGAAAGAAATCTTTATGGTTGGCTGTGTTTGCAGTCTGAGTTCAATTTGATTAGCCTGCTGAGATGCTAGAAGAAAAACAGAGATGTGGTAGCTAATGTATAATGGTTTTGCATTCTCCATACATTCCATTTAATGAGATGGAAGATGAACATATACTTACTGAGATTGTGGTTATCCTTTTTTTGTCTCTCCTTTGCCATTGCTCTTGTATCTGCTTCTGACAGAAAGCAAAATTTATTAAAATAGTCCTTAAGATGCAATTCCAGTACTTCATTCATTTTTTGAAAACGGCATCTTGTCTCAAAGACCAGGCTTCCAGTGGTTTTATTGCATTACTATTTTTATTATTAAAACAGATCATAGGCAAATTTTTTTGCTACCAGTACTAAATTTTGAGCAAGTCTGGCAGGTTGCTCAACTTTTTTTTACGGCACTTTTTAAAATTTAAGAATGTAGAAATGCCGTTCAGGGGGATTTCTCTCCGATTTCCTGTATTTTATGTCAGGATAAAACTTACAGTACACTAAGATGAATATGGATTTTCAATATCCCATAATGCAAGTGTTAATCAGATTTGTAAGATACTGAATAAACTGACTGTTTCCTCTGAGTGACATTAATAAACTGTACGTGATTTTTAGCATTCTTTGGATTAATTGAATGTAACTTTTAAAGTTCTTAATCCACTAATATAGCTTTACATTGAATAGCCTTATTGTAAAGTTTTAAAAGAACTATTTGTTCTACCCTGGAACAAATTTAATGGATGATAATTTATTTATATTTTTGGTCAGGAGCCAACATGTGGAAGCATATACTGTTTTCTAAAATATTAAGGTTTTTTAGAAGCATGATGTTCATAAAAACAGGGGGAAAAATGGTTTCTGAATTGCTAAAGAGAAGAACAGTAAGAAAACATTTCTCCTTGATCTTTACTCGTTTTCCTTAAATGAAACCGCAAACTGAAAATTCTCAGGAATTTGATTATAAATTTCTGATTAATTCAATAATTAGGAATTTATTTAAAATATCTTTACCGTGGCTAAGATCTGCTCAAGTTTTAAGATACACACCATTACTTATTCAGTTATATACTAAAATCTCAGAATTCTTTTACCTGTGAGCTCCCTTTTTACTGGTAGATTAGCTGGGCATGTAGCATTTGTGAGACCCATATTAGCTGGTGCCATTCCCTGGTCACTGTTATATATATCCAAAATGCTGCTAGATAGCTTGAGGGGAAGGGAAGGAAAGAAGAATAAGGAAAAAAATTAAAATAAGTAAAAGGGTTAAAAGATTTTTTTTTTTAAATGCAAGGAGCAAATATCTTTGGACATGAGTCTGGTTTTCTTTAGAATATACATATATAGATATACATATATCTAAACGGAAGGTTTCTTGTTACACAATATTAACTAAAACTGAAAGCAAAGAATCGCTGTCTGCCATTTTTCTACAGGTGCCATTTGTGTGGACTTCAGATTGACAGTGATGGCAAGATATGAGCCACAGTGTCTGTTTTTCAATTGCTTCTACATTATATTTTCTAAATCCAGGGTTGCCACGACTGTACTTCAAATATGCATTAGGTTAAAAGTCAACTTTACCAGGCTGATTTTAACCATACTCCCCAGTATGATTTTTTAACCACAACTCTAAACTCTAAATTGGTACTTCATACAGGGCCTGGTCTAGCAATATAGAGATTCAGGAACCTAGTTCTATGTAATAGTTAAAATTAGAGTGTACAGAACATCAGAAAGTATGCTTTGAGGAAAGGAACTGTACTGTTGTCAGAATAGACCACATAACCTAATGGTTTTAACATGTATGACATATAACCATGTATACCAGTATCCTTATTCCCTTAAAAATATAGTATTATCTAAATAAGCCCATAGAATGCACTCTAAGAAAAGTAAGGCTAAAGTACATGGATTCCCCTTACTTGAATAATTTTGCATATGCGAAATAACTGTATATTGTGTAAAAGGTTACTAAAGAACAGTTCAGGTTTTGCTCAGTTTCTATGACCCTATGACCAACCTTTCACCATTGATCCCTTGCAGTAAAAGAAAAACTTTTTTGTTTGTTTTATCATGCATATAAAATTTGTGCTGTGAATTTTGGGGTTTTTTTATGGCCAACACTCAAGGGTTCAGAAACTGAGTTTGGGTCCACATGGCCAAGATAACAGAAAATAAATCCAAGAGTAAACAAAAGAAAAACACTATAAACCCCAAAAGGATGAAAAAGTGGGTGGGGAAAATGTGAATACAACCACAGTCTTGAAAGAGAAAAACATGAAAGGAAATTAGCAGTTATTTAAGAAATTTTTTTTCATATGCAAGAAAATGTGTTGTTACAGATTTGCCCATCACCTATGGATCCTGAAACAACCTGGAATTTTCCAGGCAGGTCAAGACACCAGCCATAGGTCTGCTGGGAACCAGCTTTTTTCAGACTCTTCTAATTTCTCTTTTTGTAGAGACTGAGTTTCACCACAAGTTACTTTGAATGGAGACAATTTTCCCAATTACTTGGTCAGTGTGAAGTTGTTCCATGGCAGTGCTTCCTACATTTTATGTTGAAATTGAAATTTTAAATTAGTTTTATTTTTAAATAATGATTTTATTAAATTAACTAATAACTTTTCTAGATCATCTGAGAATCTAGGTTGATTTAAATTCTCCTAGTTCTATTACATACAGTGAAATGAAACAATCACAATTCTTATTGAACACACATAAATAATGTGCTCATTTTTAAACTAGATCTTTATTACTTGGGAAAACTGAAAATTCTTGAATGCCATTACAAATCACAACACCAAGTCAGTTTTGAAAATCTGCTTACACATTTGATTTCTCAATGAAAATACTTTTAAAAGAATGTTTGGAATTCAGATGAGTATTACTCAGAACAAGCTATGTTTAATATGCAGGATTTGAATGCTAAGAGCATTCTCACATTAAGTACTTTTGTTTCATTTAAGGGGTAAACTGACAAGTATTACAGAATTCACTGCAGCTTTACCTTTGCATTTTCTTTGCTCCAGTGGTAGGGTAACTACATTAAAAGAGTGAGCTCATGTTAATTCTAGTCATATTAAATTACTTCCTACATTCATGTAAATGAGTTTGGTTTACTCAAATGATGTGAAAACAGAATGACATTAAAAATTGAGTCAATGTGACTCCTACACTCCTACACATCCAGGATCTAGTGGACTTTGGCAAGGCTGTTATATGATTTAGGCTACTATTTCTGTGAAATGCTAGGAAATCGTAACCACTGAAAACAATATAATCTAATAAATAATCTAATAAATGAGAAATACATAGCATTCATTCTTTACATATTTCACACAGCTGTGTTCTTAAGTTCAATAATTTGCATGAAATTGTGGCAGTCTTCAATTTAGTATATTATCAATGCCATTAACAAAAAAACTAGGCTTGTACACCACAGTTTGATGCAAATATTAGATACTTAATTGAGTACTTCTTATATTCAAACATAAATTCACATTTATACTCGAAAGATGGTTAAATTTCTATAGTCTATTCACAAAGGTGTGAATTTAAATGACAATGTCCAAATCCAAGAGAGAAGTTCATGAATGGCCAATTTAGCTGGCAAGAAAAAAATACCACCATACCTCAAAGTTTAAAATTGTGTGACGGTTCAAAAGAGCATGAGTAAATTCAGCTTAAAACCTCAGGCAGACATTTCAGCTGAATTCCACACTTGGTAAATGCAATTCCATATAACTGCAGGACAATCTCTTTCCTTTCCCAGCTGACCATGCTGTCCCTGATGCACCCCAGGATATGCTTGGCCCTCCTGGCTGCCTGGGCACTGCTGACTCAAACTCAACTTGCCATCGACCAGGACCCCCAGGTCCCTTCCTGTGGCGCTTCTTTCCAGCATCTCATTCCTCAGTCTGTATATACATGCAGGGTTGCCCTATCCCAGATGCAGAATCCAGACTTGTCTTTGTTAAACTTCATTCAGTGACTGTCCAGCCCTCTAATTTGTCTAATTCTCTTTGCAAAGCATCTCTGCCAAATGTCCCATATCATCTTTGTTTCTTGCAGATGCTCTCCAGCATTCTTCCCCTTGTCATTTCACAATGTTTATCAGCCATTAAGAAAACAGAATCACCACTCCATATGGAGATGATGAAAATGAAGCGCAAACCCAAGTAATTCAACTACTGATGACTACAGTCCTATCATCTCACCAATTAGAAGGATTCACATATGTGTTACTCCAGAAGGGATAGGCAGGGAAGAAGAGACTGTGGGGTAGCTCTGTATTTTAGAGTGTTTTGATTACTGATGCAGATGATGAGGTTGAATGTTTATGGGTAAGAATCAGGGGGAAGGCAGCAAGGCAGTTTTCCTTGTTGGACTTTGTTATAGACCACCCAACCAGGATGAAGAGGCAGCTGAAATATTCTATAAACAGCTGAGAGAAGCCTTGCATTTGCTGGCCCTTGTTCCCAAGAGGGACTCAACTTACCAGATGTTGTCTGGAAGTACAACAGCCTAGAGGAAACTGTGCAGAAGATCCCTGGAGTGTGTGACAGCTAACTTCCTGACACAGCTGGTGAGCAAACCAACTAGGGAAGGTGGCCAATGGATCTGCTGTTTGTGAACAGAAGAGCACTGTACAGATGTGACACTTGGGACAGTTGGAGGCCACCTTGGGCACAAGTGATCATGAAACAAAGTTTTTGAGTCTTGGGGAAGTGAGGAGAGGGGTCAGCAAGGCTTGGGTTTTCAGAGGGCAGACTTTGACTTATTTAGGAGACTGGTTGAGAGACTCCCTTGGAAGGCAGTCCTGAAGGGGAAAGGAGTCCAGAAGGATGGACCATGAAGGAAATGCTAAAGGTGCTGGAGCGATACATTTTCATGTGCAAAAAGATGAGCCAATGAGGAAGACTGGCCTGGCTAAACAGACAGTTTTGTCTGGAACTGAGGGAAAAAAGCATAGTGGGAGAGGGGGCAGGCAATTCAAGAGGACAGCTACAACATTGTGAGGTTATGCAGGGAGAAAATTAGAAGGCTCAAAGACCTAAGATCTTAACCTGGCCACTGCTGTAAAAGACAATGAAAAATGTTTCTATAAACAAATCAGCAACAAAAAGAGGGGTAAGGACAATTTCCCTGTTTGTATTGGATGCTGGAGAAAACACACTGACAGAGGATGAGGAAAAGGCTGAAGTACTTAATGCCATCTTTGCCTCAATCTTTCAGAGTAGTACTACTTGTTCCTTGGGTACCCAGCCACCTGACCTGGGAGACAGAGCAGAATGAAGACTTCACAATCCCAGGGAAATGGTCAGTGACCTGCTACACCACTCAGACACACACAGGTCCGTGAGGCCCGACAGGAAGCACCTGAGGGCCCTGAGGGAGCTGGCAGAGCCCACTGAGCCATCTTTAGCCATTTGCCAGGAGCCCTGACTAACTGAGGAGATCGCAGTTACGGGAGCAAAGGCGATGCCCATCTACAAGGTGAGCCAGAAGGAGGATGGAGGAGCTACAGGCCTGTCATCTTGACCCAGGTGACAGGAAATGTTATGGAAAGTTAGTATCTGTCTCTTTCTTCTGTGAATTTAGTAGAAATCTCAATTATGTTGTAATGGCCACTATGACAAATAAGTAGCTTTGTGGATACTTTGTGGTCTCCCTTTGACACACTGTCTTCATTCACAGTTAGCACAAAAAATCTGCTATGAATTAGTGTGCAAGGAATAATTCTTGGCCAGGATTCACGACCAGGAGAAGGAGCAGAAAATGACTAATGTGACCTGTTTTGGACACTTGAATGTGTCCAAATGAACTGAATTATCTCTGTCTCCTATTCTTGACTCTGAAGAAAGTTTGGGGTGAATGTTGCAGGCTTCCCATGTGTATCTTCTCAGGAAACCTCACTGGGCTCCTAATGTGAAAATTTCCAAATAAACTCTTACTTTAAAAATCACGTAAGAAAGACTTCCTTTAACATTAATAGTTTTTCTGATTACCAGAGACTTTTATAAAATACCATCAAAAAATATGTCAAAGTATTTTTTTGAAACTCTCTCCCTGAATTTGCTCTGCATTGATATCAAGCATAGAAAATTCCAAGGAGTTTATTTGCTAATGTTACTGAACACTGAGAGCAATCTTATGGTAGAAATTGGCCGATTTTGATACAACATGAGGAAATATAGTTATTG